CGCATATAAATTAAATTAAATGTGCTTATGAGAATGCCGATTTCGGAAAAGTTTTCGATCATATAATATGAGATCATCATGACCTTGCCCTTGCTATCTCCCATAATATTCAACCTGCGAAACGGGGCGCTCTCAATCAGTACGTTAGTGCCACAAACGCGCGCCTTATTCAGTTCATGGAGATTAGTACTAGAGTACGCATATTGAACATGTATGCGTGTTCACGGAAAGTGTTACCATTTCTTAGCAACGGAATTTTCCCTAACCAATGTACAGTTAGCAATAATATGACAGAACCAGAAACCCCGTGAAGCAGTGTATTGCTCGTGAAATTAGATACTGTTATATTAGATACAGGATACTGTTAGGATAGCGACTTCACGTTCGCACATTCGGTTCACACGCTGTTAGACTATTGTTTAGAATCAACAACTTGCTTGTTTAGGGTGGAGATTATAAACATATATTACAGGAATTTTATAAATAGATTGTTTACTTATTGTATTTAGTAGTGGCAACTTTGCAAGGCTTTAACCGTGAGACACATCCCTGGTAATCACGTGATCGTGCTAACGACTACAGCGATTGACTGGTCGCATGGTCACTCTACCACGCCTTAGAGATTTCACTTTTAATATAGAGAATTGGTAACATTGGTAAGAGGATAGAGATCGAGAGAACGGTGCAGCAATGGGTTACCTCGGCTGACTGCTTGTGTGAATAAAGCTCGACTATCTGTAATGAACTTACGTGAATTCATTTGAGTCGAATCTGGTATCTACACGTGTGAGTGACATCAGCCAAGCGAGACGAAGTTCCCTGATCCCTGAACACGACGCCAGTGTTCAGGACATGTACAATACACCGCATCACTCGTGAAAATAACTTCCATACGCAACGAAAGCCACGGGGAGGGTGTGGGGTTCTTTTATTATTAAATATGTTCAATATTTGATTATTTGATATTAAAAGAACGTGCAACAGACCGGGATGGAATTTAGGTCGGGGAACTCCATTGCAACGCGTGTCAGTGTAGAACGCGTGTCTCAGTATGTGTGAAAATAAAATAATCAGACGTCTAATCTGAGACACTGTCCGAATAAATAACGCGTGGACGTTTAGTTGGGGCTACGACAGAACCAGAACTTGAATTGAACGACAGTGATACACAGTTTAAGTTGAAGTTAAAAGGTCCTCCACAGATATATGCATTGGAAAAAACATGCCGTGCAGCTGCAGTACTCAACTGTCGGGATGACCTTCGTCGACAGCGGTCGTCGCTGAGCTGCACGCTACAACTGCGTTTGTGATGTTGCTTGCTGGCCGTGAATTGAATTGAATGAATCTTGTTGATCGGTTAAACTGTTACTCATTTGGCGTTGGTGATCTTTATTTTGAACTGAGTATCGGTTTAGACTGCTGACATTCTTGTGTCCACTTAGTTGTGCTGCTATGTTTGGTAGCACACCGGCATCAATGAGTCGTTGAACGCAGGGTTTACGTGCGATTTGGTTACTCAATTGGCAAGTCCGCTGCTTTCGACATTTATCTTCACCTTATATGCCAAACATTTTGCTGAACAATTTGTACCGGATAAAAATAGCAGACGAAAAATTGTTTTTCAAAATAAAATTAGTTCGTTCGCCAAAGTAAATACCATGTTCATTTACATTATTGCATGATATGCAAATTAGTTTTAGTCAAAATAAGTGAGTGGCTAAAAGTACTGTTGTTCATTTCACTCGGCAAGTATATTCATGTACCCCAAGGGAAAATTATCGTACTTCTGAATATTGTTTATTTCTGCTATGTTTCGAAAAACGGTACTCCTGAAGGGACTACTTTGTTTGTTCTCAGACCTCATTTGCATATGGGGTGTGGAAATACTGATTTTGATTTCAGGACGAATCAAAATACACTGCAGTACATATGTAATAATGAATAATTATTTTCCGGGTCAGATATTAAATTTGGCGTAAAATATGTATGTAAACAGTTACATGATTACCTTGTTTTAGCACCATATCAATACAACATTGCAAACAAAATAAGTCGAACACTATCGTTATCGTCGTGCTTTGCAAACCAAAGTTTTATTGAATATGTGACTACGAATAACATGACGAAATATTCTAACTGTTCTAGTTTCTACGTTAATAACACATGCCGTACGTCCAACATGTTTATTCTTACACTCTTTTCCTCCACAGTGCGTTAAAAGCATCCATTGGCTGTGAGAAAATAAACACAATTATCTTATTGCGCAATCGCGGAATCATATGATTAGGTCAACCTAACAAAGTTACCATAGACTCATACCGAATCATTTTAGTCATAATATAAAATGGGATATCGGTTTCAGCAAGGTTTATGTTCCAAAATGAAAATTCTACGCAAATTGTCAGCCTTACCGTGACGTTTTACGTGAATATGACACTGATAAGATATTATTGAAAGATGACGAACAGTATACCGAACTACAACTGTTGGAAGAAAACAAATGCGAACAGTAATTGACTTGTTTGGTATGTATGAATTTCTAAACTTACTATATTCGCAAATATGTCCTTTCTTGTTTTCACAGTTGGCATCATCCCACTTGAAAGCTCTTCGTTTCCTGATGATATTAAACAAGCCCAATTTAATATGAGAAGCAATATTATACAAATGTTCTAGAAACAAAGGAGTCGGACATACAGTTTTAGCAACCCAAACGAGACGAAACATTCGTTGACAACGAGTTTGTATGCACACTAGGACTGTATTGCCGCAATTGTTGAGTGTTCAGTATTTAAAATGTTGTTTTCAGAATATAATTAAATAGTGACTACAAACGTGGCGAGCTAACCAAATCATAAATAATGCTGCCTATCGTGACCTTTTGACAAGTTACTGACGTAAATCCATGACGCATGTCCCCTGGTGAGGGCGGACATTGCGAAGCGTCAGGTGGTACGACGTCATAGCAGAAAACGACCAATAGTAGTGTATCACATTTGTTGAATCTCGATACACCGTGGGGTGTTTATTAATAGAAGTCAAGATAATGGAAGTAAAATAGATGTTTTACAACCCACATTTGAATACAGTCCTGAACCCCATCTGGACGATTGCCACCACTCGGTTGGTTACGAGCCCATTTGGTAAAGTCGTCGTCTGAAAGGATTGTGCCGTCAGACCAGACGTATTCACCCTCGTTCGCAAGATCGTTGAGTCCAAACCAAAACCCGTATATAACGTCATCATCATAACCATTGTTGAATATGAACTGGCGAACAAGGTTAAAAACGGAAGCTTTATTTATCATGGCCAATTGTCCACCCTTCCCTTCGCAGATAGCTTTTGCATCATGCCAGGTCTCAGAGTCCGTGTTAACCTCATAAAAGTGACATCCGCTACACACAGTGTTTTCAACTACAAGATATAACAACAAATAAACAACAGGTATTTTGAGTAATTCGTTGAAACTGGACAATCATATTATTATTTTGCGAACAAAATAAAAACAAAATAAATATCAAATACTCACAATCGCAATTGCATGTTTCTCCATTTGGTAACTCCTCATGAAACTGCGGATTAAATAGCACAGTAAGATCAACTGATAAATAATCTCAAATGGTAAAATACCAAACAGATAATCATTAGGGGAGTAAACATGACATTATTACGTAACAAATAAAATGTCACCGTATCTCCATAACTTATGCTAATTGTATTGAACAGGCGTATCTGCATCCTATCTAAT